TTCTAGAATACCGTTGGCAAGCGCTGCGGGCATTGCGGGTGTAGCGGGCGCCATACGAGTTTTAGAACGGCGTTTGCCCCTACTAGAGAACAGTTTAGCTTTAGAATAGCGTTTTCCCTTACAAGAGGGACTTCAGTTGAAAAATCTAGGGACTTCAGCTGCCCCGCAAGCTCAAATGCACGGAAACTATACATAGCCTCGACACCAGCACCTCGCGGACCGCGATCGCCTCACGCTATTTCGGATTTTCTGCGGGCGGGCCGCGAACGTGAATGGCGGCCCTCGTATTACGCATGCGCAGGGACAGCCACCGCACCGCAAGGGCTCGCAGTGCGCTATTCTAAAACTCCCTAATGGCTTTGCGCCCGAGAAGGCGGGTGTGTGCTAAGCAGCGCCTAGCACGGCATAGCTGCAGGGGCGGCGCCAGGATGTTTTTACTGGGGGGGCAACCACGAAAAGTGAGTTCCTCCGGGGGGGCAAGCTAGCTCTGCTCCTACTAGGTTTTCAATATATGCTTCCGCGCACTTGGGTGGGCATAGGGGGGGCAGGCGAGAATTTTGGGGGGGCTCCAGCCCACCCTTGCCCCCCCTCGCGCCGCCCCTGCATAGCTGCCCCGCCGCGGTGGTCAGGTGGCTAAGGTACTCGGCTGCTGACCCGCAGGTCGCGGGATCGAGTCTGCATTTTCGATGGAGGCGGAAATGTTGTAGGCCCGTGTGCTCAGATTTGGCTGCACGCTAAAAAAAAAACCCAGGTGGTCGAAATTTCCGGAGCCCTCCACTATACGGCGTCTCTAATAATCGTGTGGTGGTTTTGGGACGTTGAACCCCGCATATCAAAGCATGGCATAGCTGTTGAGATAAGATATCGATTAGCGGCACATCGGGCTCAATGGTTGTGCGGCTGTTGTCGCGTCGTGGCGGTGCCTCTGAAGTTTTTCGCTCATTCACACGTTTTGAGGATATGGCGCCGCCTGCACATTCACGATTGAGCCGATCGTGTGCAACACTGTTGCGGCAAAACGAAGTGTAGTCGCGAAACCACGCGATGACTTTGCGTGCTCCGCACCGCGCATGGTCTTATCGAGCTTTTGCGAAGCGTTGTCTTGTGGATCTGCCTCGTCAGCACTTAGTTTTTTTCACGAGTAGATGCCGCGGCATGTGCTGAGGTTAGCGCTATACATATGCGGCGTTTCACGCCATTCATAAGCTGCAGTTTGTGCCGTCCACTGCGGCCCATCTTTTAAAACGTTGCGCTGGCCACCGATAATCGAGCTTGTGCTGTAGACGGTGTCATGCCTTCACGTCGCAGGCGTCGTCGAGCGCCCAAAAGGTTCGTTCATTTTACGCATAAGAACGCTGCTCGTCAATTCGCGCTGCGGAAAATTAACGCTAAGGCACGTTTAAGTCCGCGGTCGGCACAGTGCGGTGCCGCTAGCGCGCCCATCGAAGCGCTCCTCGCACGTTTTCATTACGAAGCTGCTGCAGTAGCGCATTGGCAGAAACCACGGTGCGTAAGAACAGTCACGGGGACGCCAAAATAACGTTATAACGCACCCGCGTGCCCGTTCTTGGAATTTGCTTGGGGCCGTTCCGCCCGCTTCCCGCACGTGCCGGGACCACTACCGCAAGCAAGTGGGGGACAAATAAGCCACTCGGCGATGCTCTTTCACCCTCCGCTTGGATGCGGCAAGTGTGCCGGCACGTGCGTTGCGGCTGTGCGGCAAGCGCGCCTTTCGCGGGAACAGTTGTGGCGGTTAAGCCTTCCGTCTGTGGGGTTGTGATGCGTGGAATTATTTCAACGCGCGCGTTTGTTTTCGCTCCTCGTGTATGCGCCTTTTACGGTTATTTGGGCGCGCAATAACATTTAATAGCTATCGAATACGATGGGGCATTAGCTGCAGTAAGTTGGCCCGATGCCAACCACAGGCGGATTTTCGTGTTCTCGAAGAATTTTTTTTTTACTGGCTAGGCAGCTGGTATTCATGTAGGGCTCTTGTTGGAATGACATCCTGACAGTTCTCACTCTCGGAATCTAGCGTGGCATGCTCGTACTTTTCACTGGTCAGGGGTGCAACATCTGCGCCAAATTGATACAATTCCCCATTTTTTTTTGCGTCAAATCCATTGAATTTACCGAAATTGCGTCAAAATGCCCGACCAGCCTCGAAATTTTCTCAGTTGCGCTAATTTCAGCGAGAAATGAAGGCCACGTATGTTGCCCTCTTACAGTTTGAGTTGTCAATCAATCCAAGCGCACAGACCTTAAACCGTGGTAACCTAACCACGCGAGACGTGATCAACAAGATAAAGTAACAAAGCCGTGTGCCCATCGGTCCACTGACCGCAACGGGTACCTATCGGCGGGAAGACGCCAGACAAAAAAAAAAAAATGGCCCCGTATCTGCATGTTACAATACAAATGTCGTCGAAAGAGCGTCTGAGGAGAGTGAACAAAACAAGAATTTGATGTTCTGCGCAAGAAAAATCGGTGAATGGTATTCTGGAGGCACTGCGTTAGAGTGCCTCGAGCGTGCAGCGGAGGCGAACGAGCGCATCGAGTCGCGTCACACGGGAGACATGCGCGCTATCTGGCACTTATCTTGGAAAACGAAGCGCGGGGCATGCGCGCCCGCCTCAGGGGAGATAAGGTGTAGAACGCAAGGCGACGGGTAGGTGCCACCACCGCGTCGTCTCAGCAAAGCGTTGCATCGTCAGCGCAGCGTAATAAGCGCTACGCTCCTTCGAATTACTTATGCATGCCTTTTCTAGTAAAAATGCACGCATACAAAATGTTGACGTGTTCTTATGGTGCCTAGATATCAGCAACAATTGTTTTTTTTAATTGACAGTCGCACAAGTATGAACGCTATACCTTATTGGTTTATTGTGGTGGCAATATTGTGGCAATATTGGTTGGGCGCTGCGGATGGGGTCGGCCGTTTGGAGTATTGCTTGGTGCCGTTTCGGGCATCCTTAAGGGCGGACAAACAGACAAATGTACAGACAGACCGAAGTTTTTGCGTCGCAAGTACCCCCCCCCCCCCAAAAAAAAAAAAAAAAAAACTATCGTCTTTGAAATGCGTTGCCGTAGCCACGAACGCTTCGCGGGAAATATGAACTTCCTAGTCAGCGAAAGTGGCTGTGACATGTTAGCAACTAGAGCTGGGAGCGCATACCGCGTTTTCCGCGCGCGAACAGAGTCGACGGGCTGCGAACGCCGGCGTTGCCGGCGAACACGTTGGCCGCCATAGCAATGGCACATGAAACATTTTTCTGTCTTGCAGTTGCGTTAGTTGCGTCGTCCCCGTGATAGATATCCGATGCTGTCGCTGGATCAACGGGCGTGCGCCGCTGTGACTTTATCTGGTGAAACGCACCTTGCAAGCGAGGCGAGATGTGCCCTAAACTTAACCCTCATCGTAATGGGGAAAAAAAAGTGAGGGGGGGAGGGGGTGTAATGGTGTTCGAAAATGTATTGGTCTTGTTCTAGCCCGTGCGGAACGTTGCTTAAACCACTTTCGCCGCAGTACACCGGTGACCAGCGGAAAAGCGGATTATGAATTCATAAAGGGTTGTTAGCATTTTTTCGTGGGACAGCAAATTTCGTTCGATTACTCATGCGTGTATACTACCACATAATTGTGAGCACTAGTATGATCGCTGACGTCTGAAAAAGTTACTGGCAATCATTTCGAGCAGTGTATGACACTTATGCCGCCAAAAAAAAAAATGCTAAGTTTTTTTTTCTATTTCGCCCCCCCCCCCCCCCCCCTATTTCTCAGTCTCACAAATTCCTTGAATTTCAAGGTCGCCAGCCTGATAGATCTGCATTTAAAGTCACGGATTCTGTCAACGAATTTGGCAGACCCAGCAAGTGCTAATGTGGACTTTATCATTGTTTGTTTGCTCAGTGGTGTAGATCGAAATACTACTTATATTGAAACAGCATTGCTCTTGTTTACTCTGCATGATTTAGGCTTGAACATACTTTTTTTTTCTAAATGTAAGCCTTATTTGCTCCAGGCTTAGTTTTTCGTGATGAAAAATAGATGTTTGATTTACCATAAGCTGCTCCGAATTTGCATTTTAGTGTAAGATTCTGCTGCTCCAAAAGTTGCTCCAAATTCTATTTCTGCAGTGAAGCACGCCTGACTTGTGCTTCACTGAACTGCACATCTTGTGCACTGCAGTGAAGCCAACACATTGCATTCGGCTATGTCAGAGCGTCATTGATGTAACTGTAGGTCTTGTTTATTTAAAATAGAGCGAAATTTTGTGCCCACACAGTAATTGGGATCTGCACTAAATAGTTGCACACTTACTAGTATACCACTCGTAGTGATCCGCGACACCATGTTTCCTTCTTGGAAACTGCTCCAAATCCTAAACTGGCTTGACCGCTACTGCTCTTCTGCCTCGGTTATCGTCATCAAAAAGCACCTCTTGAGGGTTTAAAAGGAAAGGAGTCAAAAAAGAATTGCATCAAAGTAAGGCATTTTTACTGCTTAGTGCAGCCTGCCTTAAAGGCAGATCATGTTTTAGCTGCTCTTGTGTTCTATGCTCCTGTACAGAACACAAGGCGAAAAACAAGCATCGGAACTATACTTCCATTTGTAAGTGGAGATGACACCAGGCATTGATACGTTTGTAGGCAGTCTTGCTAAGAAGAGCACAGCTGGCACCCTTGTGTTGACAATGCCACGGAAGAATAGAGACCTCGTGCTATGTGTCATTCATTCAGTTGCATCATTTATCATGCATGTGCTACCTTTCTTTCATTGTGCGGACTGCACTGTTTTCAAGTTGTAGAGCAGTGTTATGCAGTGTGCATGCGTGCTCGTGTATATGCAGCACTTGACGTGCACTTGCACCTTGAGGTTTTGAGCATGTATTATAAACTTAGTTGCTTCCTGTGACTTTAGTTTCTTTTTTCTTTATTTGTTCGTTAGCATCTTCTAGGTTTGGTTGTATTCTATTATGTCTTTTTGTTTTGCTTCATAGGGTGATGGGAAGTGGCGATATTGACCATACATATTACCGGTGAGCTTTTTATTTTTTTGTTTTGTTTGTACCTGCATGGCACTAGCAAAACTGCACAACACTGCATCATGGGCACATGAGCTAGTGCAGTCGTGTTACCTTTTCATCTTGTGTGAATTGCAGAAGCTGGGCTTGCCCCGTGATGAATACAGTGCTTATACATTTTGCCTGGTGGTATTGTTGCTTGGCAAATCATTCATTACTATCATATGTGTTGCCATTTTGAAACATTTTCATGTCTGTTTCATCCTTTTTAAGTAGGACGCAGTAGTAGCGGATGCTGCTTCACTTATGGACCTATGTGCTGTAACTGTAGTGCTGCTGTAGTGGTGTGTTTGTGGATGCTTTAGTGAGACACCAGAGTAACAACGAAAAGTATACGTCAAAGGGTCATGACACCCAATTTTCAATCATAATCTGTGCTATGTGGGTTAATCCTTGAGCATTCACACATACGCTGGCGAAATTTCAGCACATTTTGTCGAGCACTTCATTTACTATTAAATATTTCTATATACACGCGAGCGGCCTGGGAGTCGGGCAACACTAGTGCACTCGCAAGCCGTGACGTGATGAGCAGCTGGCTGTGCTAGTGTCAGCATTGCAGCGAACTATATTGTTCCATGGTCAGCTGCACGTGAAATCAAGACATTTAAGCTTTCTTCGGCTTGGCATTAAAGGGACACTAAAGGCAACTATAAAGCCGGATGTTTATTGTTTAAATGGTAGTACAGAAACCCTGTAGTGTTACTTTAGTGCCAAGAAAGGGCTTATTTCGAAATGAAATCGCATTCTGCATCGGGTTAGCCCACTTCAAATTACCCGCCCACGTGGAACATCTAGCGTCACTGTTGCCGTGAAAAATGTTGCCCAACTTTAATGCGTGGCCACCGACGCTAGCAGCAGCAGAACAAAAGCAGCGGGTGCCATAGCAGCAACAACGGCAATTCAACAATTTCCTGCCATTCGCTCACGAGATGGCAGACATTATTGGTTCAACTGGGCCCCGCTAGATGGCACCATCTGTCGAGTTTAAGCCAGGCGAAAATTGAACTTTTGAACCGCTCACGCTATTCCTTGTAGTAATACCCGGGTACTCTTTTCCCTGAATCAAACAGAAAGGAACAAGCAGTGCTTTATTACGTCTCTTGACGCAAGGAAGTTCTTTATTTTGTGCAGCTAGTTTTATTACGAGTGAATAATTGTAGGCGATCACCCTGACATCATTGGTATCACTTTGCTAGTGTCCGATCGTAGCGCATGTGTTCTGGTGCATTTACCTTAGTTTTTCGGTAAATAGTGCACTGCTGTTGATAATATTGTTGTGTTAGGCGTTGTCATACATTGAGCTTTCACTCTTACTTAAATTGTTATTTGACTTTAGTGTCCCTTTATTTAAAACTGAATGGTTTGTAGTGGCTGAAACTGTGGTAAAAGACTATGGCACTGCTCCTCACTGCACATGACGTCAATGGTGCCGTGGCAAAATGGCGGTCGCCGGCGGTGGGCGGGATTTACTGCCGGGATTTACTGTATCTGTATAAGCACAATAGACATTCTACGTCTAGTTTTAGCTGAAAAATTGAAAATTGTTGGGTGACCGTGTTATGGCCCCCTTTAAATGATGGTAATTGGATGCTAGGACATACTACTGTAGATCTGGCACCAAGTGAATGGCTCTGTGGGCTGGGTTCTTATATGTGCAGCACAAAGGCATAGCCAGAAGTTTTTGAGGGGGAGGGGGGGTCAGCCATTATTCACGTACATTTGTGCATACATTTGTATGTGTGCATGTATATATAAACATGCAAAATTGAACACTTTCATCGGGGCATTGAGCACCCCCTCTCTAGCCAGTGACGTGGTACTACAGAAATGATACTAGCTTTACGGAAGCTGAGTGGTCGGTAAACATACGTATGCAGCAATGTTGGAAGAATGCGCGTATATAGAGACAGTAGTGAGATACACATTCTGGGTGGGTCTAAGACAAGAGAAGTGAAGTGCGAGAACAGACATATGTCTGACATTCGTTTTATCTGCCTAGTGTAACCAAGTAACAGCATATATAAAATAAGTTTCGGAAAAAATTACTACTGGTAAACTTGTTGTCTTTAGTTGGTTTGAGCATAAAATCAGTCTTGCCAGAGACATTCTAGATATATTCATACCCTTCAAAAGCGATTTTTTTCTGCCAATGCACATGCCTGCTTGCATTTTACAGCGAAAGCTGTAATCAATATTGCAAGACATAAGAAATAAAAACGCCAAGGATTTAAGCCCGGGTCTGTTGCGTGCCAGCCCAGTATTACTGAGCCACGCTGGCCCTTGAAACTCGCTGCAAAACTTGCCTTAGGCTGGCTTGATGTCGGGAAAGGAATCCCGCTAATATGAGTAATAAAGCGTTTTAGAATATCAAAGGAACAACCAGGCGTCGCACAATGCGAGTTGAGTAAAGAGTGGGTCGTCCAATGATCCAACTCGTTACAAAAGCTTGTTTTTGTTCACCTATTAGCTGTGACGCATACCCACTTTAGGCATAATTCTTCATCGTCATCAGCGACTGCATAAAAAAATATTGTACAATATTCACATAAAGTGTGTAGCGAATACCAGGCTTCTCCGAAGAATGATGAAGTATAGCATAGTGAATGCCATCCTGCTACGTAAAAATTATCATTATTTATAGTGGAGCGGGTACCCAGCAAGTGTGCTTGCAGCAGTTACTAGTGTTAAGAAAAGGCTCTGAAAGGCCACCCAATGTTTTCACTGTGACAGTGCTGTGCACTCCGCGCCAGCCTGGTGTTCTTTTCTGTTCGCTTTATTCGAATTACCATTAGATGTGGAGACACCACAGTACGAATCCATGTTATTGGCATAGTATTGTGATGCCAGTGCCTTTGTTTAGTTAATTTACCAGCAGTATCTTAGTTGGCTGTCCTGTATTTTGAACAATGCTTTAAAGTTTCAACGTCCATACAAAGCAAGGCCTTTGCCATAAATAACATTCATACAGCGTGGCGACTATATCATGCCAAGTTTGAAATAATGCACACAAAATTAATCGCAGCATTCTGTATTTATGGTACAAATTGCTTGTAGCAATTTTCAAAGCATGAATCTTTCACCCGAGGCTTCGGATTGATCACATTTTGCTACATTTTCATTTTATACCATAGATATTCACTAATTTTACGTGCTGTTTCAGCTATATAGAGAAGTTACATATTATTATTTTGCTGCTGCTGATGGTAACGTCTTTCAGACCTGCTGTTCTGTTTATTATTAATATTATTATTATTAATATTATTATTATTATTTAGGAGTTACACATATCATCTAAGGTGCATCTAAGACTCCTTCAATTTTTTTAAATTTTAAAAAGGTTGCTATTCAGGTGGGTTGGTCCATAACGCAGCGTGAATGTAGCCCCCTTGCTCTATTAATGTGCATCATGCTTCTTCTTCTACATGTCGCACAAATTTATGCTGTGGATTTGAAAAGAAGCCAACTCTCTGCTAGCGCTATTTCAATGAGACCCTTAACTGACTTGCAATTGTATTAGAAAAAATTCCACCAATTTATTTTTGTGCACACCGAGTCTTATCATTGCGTTTCAGCCAAAGAAAAGCAAATCCTGGCATTTTGTCAATTTGAACCTAGATCAGTGTATCACAATCCAATATCTGAAAGCTTCTAAACAGCTTTTTTTTTTCTTCCTGCTTCCATGACAGTTGATGCTATCCAGTAGTGGTGATAATACAGTCTTCCCAGACTGTTGTAGTAAAATAGCTTTTTTTCGCATAGTGTGCCTTCAAACCAGTGAAACGTCATCACTCGATTCAACTTTTGATGCAAAAATGAAGGTGGTACTGTCACTCTTGCTCCAAATAAAAAAAAAAAGCCAACCTCAATGTGTGCAAATGTTAACTAGCCCAAGTATGTTAAATAGCAAAAAGAGAGTAGTGACACCCAATATTTCATTGGTGTCTCCATGAGCTTCAATTGTTTCAGTAATGGTGGACTGTATTGCATCTTAAAAGGACCAGACACTCAGAATGTTAGAGATACTGGTGTTAATGGTTCTCGTGAAAGATTAAAAAATGAAAGTTTGGCCTTCATTTATTAAATTAACCAGCCAATTTCCACTGTACTAGTAATATTAATTACTGATTATTGTGAGAAGTTATGTCATCAGTCAAAATGATCTAGCATTGTCCCCCCTTAAGTACCACTTCGTTTTAAAAGCATTGTTAAGAATGAAAGCAAGGGTTTGAGAGACCAGAGTTATCTTAGAGAAGTGTTACACCAGTGAAATTTTGCGCGAGTATGTCACCTCCAAATTTTCATTCGCAACAGTGGTGTCGCTACCAGTCATCCTCGTGAGGGTAGTGCTTTGGTGAACTTCTTTTAAAAAATTCTGGATAGGAGTGTGAAAATGCAAGCAGGCAGTGGTTGTATGGTAAGTGTGTATAGTCTGTCCCACAGGGAGCTGAGCCCGGGTGGGGAAGAAGGCAGCCGTCCTGCATCAGTTGATTCCGTGCTTACGCAGCCTACGCGCCTCGAGTCTGGTGAGTGCCGGCTGTGTCAATGGGACACTTGCATTGCTAATTGCATTGTTTTGTTGATGCACTTGTGATTGCTCTTTCATAAATTCACATTTGACCACTATCTGTTTTAAGTGTTTTATGCTGGAGTGCACAACGGATATGACATTGTAAAATGTCTATACTAACAAATTGTAAAGAAAAACACGAGAAGGAAAAGTTCCGCAGCGGAGGGTCTAACCAGCGACCTCGCGCTCCTGAGCGTGCGACACTACACACTATGCCACAAAGCAAACCTTCTCCGTCTTGTTAATGGCAAGCAGTTTACTATATACACTAAGTACCGCTGGCGGTCCTTGGAGCTCGGTAACTGCAGCGCGTTTTCGTCATCAGTAGCGAGATGGCACGACGGGCGCAAACGCTCTGAACGTCGCCACGTTGCACCACCCCATGCTATGCGCACGTGCCTCCGCATGGCGTGCTTAAAGTGCGTATAGATGTTCTCTAGCGTGGTGGCTCACTCGCTTACTTGCGCTAGTGCGCTTATTGCATGATTTGAGCGCTTTGTACTTCTTGTGCGTCCACCGCAAGTTTGCTTCGACTTTACAGTTGTTAAAGAGAGCACGAACATCACTTTGTTAGTGCTTAGTGCTGCAGTTTCATTTACGAAAGAAGCGTGCCGCTCACTCACGAAGTAAGAATCGTTACAGTTTGTGCTCGTCCTGTGTATACCTGTGCATTTGTTTCGTTCGTTTTGTGTCGAGCTGTGACAGTTGTTTGTCCGCGCTCTTCCTGTGTATGCTTATTTCGTGCGTGCTTTCTGCCTGCTCGAGGTGTGCGCTGCATGTTTAGAGCTGCTTGCTGTTCTTTGCGTGACATTGCAATTTGTTGCGGTAGCATTCATACATTCACCTTTGTGACGTAACAATGCACAATGAAAGCTCAGCTGCACGTTTCACTTTTGTGTATTACCGATTCCTAAAAAGGGAGATCAACCACATTTTTTCTTTTTCTTTTGGGTGCACATTTGTTTTTGTTAGTGCTCTTGATGCAAATTTTGAGCCTCACCATTTTGTATTGGACCCCTGTGGACTTCTCTTGTGTCCGTGTTTGCGAGCCCTGTCTCTTTTACATGAATACTTGTCAACTAGCTCTGTTTTCTATCAACCTATAGTGTAAAATGGCTGTATATCGGCTGTCAGTCAACTGCGGCGGCTTAACAACCTTGTGAACAAATTTAGTGTCGCATTCGCGGTCCCCAGCTGAAAACAGAGGCAGCAAAAAGGATAGTATCCCAGTGATTGGCTAGTTTGAAAAAGTACATTTCAGCGATGTGAAGGGTGTTCAGTTTTTTTTTTTCTATCTTCACTACTAGTAGTGCCAAGAACACATTTATCATTCTTAATTTGCAGCTGCTTCAGTGCTGGGTTTCACTGATTCCCAGCAGCCCTCCAAAACGACAACTTAAATATTCTATCTTCTGCGATGCTGACCTGTGCATGCACAGTGCTCGAGTGGTTTGTGCCGAGTGTACACCATAGCTTCATTCAAACGAGACTGCAGCTACATTCTTTCATGTTTCTTTCGTTCTCTCTTCTTCTCTTTTTTTGTAGTTTTCTTTTCTTTTTTATTTGAAGGCTGGAAACTTTTTGTAGCTTCTCTGTTTGTGGGCTGTGTCGACCACTTCTGTATTATGTTTTATGACACATGCAGACGATGCCACTTTGGAGTCGAGTAATATTCAAGGCAAGATGCTGCAGCCATCTGAGGACCATGAGGACAAAAGCGGTAGGAATGTTTTCATTTTGACTGCAATGCTAAGACAGCAGCACTCTGATGTGCTGCACGCGAGCAGACCATTCTTTCTAATATTAATAATCAACATTTGCTGGCATTTAATGGGGTCATTCTATAGCAAACTTATATTGTAAATGTCCCTCAGTAGCCTGCATTGCGGTCATTCATATTTGGTCATGTAGCATATACCTGTGCTGTGCAAGGCATAGCAATATAGATTTGGCTTTAAATGCTTTAACTTACTACGCAAAATTTCTGGGTCACATGGGCATAATTAATGACTACAAAGCCTTAGGTCATTTCTGGTGGAATGCGTGATTTTGCTCTCGGTGCTATCATCCACAACTTGTGGAACATAAATTTCTGGAGTGAAGTGGAAGAACTCGAGATAAGTGATGCCTATTGTAGTTTTTATTGTAGTTTGTAGTTTATTGCCTGTTGTGTTACCTCTTCAACTCTTGCTTCCTGAATGGCATTGTTGTGATACTAACTCATCTGTCAAACTGTGTTCCTGCATTCACTGCAGCTGTTATCAGCAAGTTCAGACCAGAGATTCGTTTGCAGTTTTTTTTTCTTTTCTTTGGAGTGGAGAGTTTACAGTGCAGTTCATCAGAGCAGGTTTATGTTTGTAATGGAAACGCGCTTAGGTTTGGGCCAAGGACCCATCAATAAAATGACACAGCAGTTGGGGCCTTTAACATGCAATGCATACAACTTTATCTACAACGTTACAGGCCTCACAATATATACGGAGAGTATATACGGTTCTAGAACTATCCATTTTGCAATGTGCCTACCACTCATGCAATCCCCTCCTTAAAGGGCTGTCATCGTGGTAACCGTGGCAGTTCTAATCAATGCGATATCGCTGCGTTGTCTGATGATGGTAGGAATGACTCGTAGTCACCTATGGTGCACTTGTCTCTGCATCTGCTCTGGTTGTGAGGGGACTAGCGGGGCTGGTTAACTCTCAGGCCAGCCGTCAACGTATTTAGATACTGTCAGTTGGATAAGTCCGCTTCGTAGGCGGCTCTAACTAGTATCCGCTCCGAGGGGCGGCGCTGGCGTAGCGTTGAGATTGAGCTGCTGCCGTTTCCCGCGGCAGCGTTGAATATTTTTGTTGGTGCACCACTGCGAGGGGAGCTTGAAGGTTAGATTTCGGTCATCGCAAATTCTATTTCACATGTGACTTGACAATCAAGCATGCTTGAGAGAATCTGCAGTTTAACACAGTAAACATGAGGACCTGCAGCACATCGGGCTGTCGAAGTGGCAATGTTTCTGAGGAAAACACTTGCGATCCATGGCATTTCAAACCCCCAAAATACCCTGCCGTTCTGAAGGCCTGAACATCTACTGATCCATGAAAAGCCTTCCAGGTGGCAGTCAAGACCTACCGTATATACTCGTGTAAGGGCCGCCCTCGTGTAAGGGCCGCACCCCAACTTTGAAAGCGGATATTTCGAAAAAAAAAAAACAAAAGTTCAAAATGTCCCGCCAGAAAAGTGTAGTTAGTTCATTTACAGCCAGATGGCGCTGCACGCTTTTCCGCTTTTATTCTACTTCCGCCGACGCGCCGACCACGCTGTTGACAGCGCGCCGCCATATTTGCCTTGTGCGGCCTCTTTGTTGGCATCGTTCCTAGCATCGTGTCGATACGTTGGCAGCGCGACTTCAGATCGGTGTCGTCGGTGTCACTTTGTTGGTTGTAGTGAACCCTGCAGAAGCCAGCGCACGTGACGGACGATGGGCCGGCATCTGAGATCATTCACTGCAGCATTTAAGCTGCAAGTGATTGACTATGCCGAGGAGCACGGGAAGCGGGAAGCTGGACGAAAGTACGACGTCGATGAGAAGCGCGTGCGTTACTGGATGAATCAGAAAGATGCCCTCGCCGCTACTAACAGGAGCCGAAAGGCGTTTCGCGGGAAAAAGTGCAAGTACCCGCAACTCGAAAGCGAGCTCGTCAACTACGTCGTCGACACACGAAGGGACGGCTACGCCGTATCGACTGACATGATACGCGTCAAAGCCCTCAGCATCGCTCGCCACATGGAAATACCCCCGGCACAATTCAAGGCAAGTCGGGGCTGGGCTACGCGGTTTATGAACCGTAACCAGCTTTCTATTCGGCGCCGAACGACGATTTGCCAAAAACTGCCGCGCGAGTACGAAGACCACGTCATTAAGTTTCATCGCTTCGTGAATGCTCTCAGGAGGGAGCATGAATACGACCTGTCCCAAATTGGGAATGCGGACCAGACACCTGTGTGGTTCGATGCACCGGAAAGCACCACAGTGGATTTAAAAGGTGCGAAAAGTGTGTCTGTGCGCACGACTGGTGCAGAACGCCAAAGGTGCACTGTGATGTTGTGCATCACGGCAGACGGCAGGAGGCTTCCGCCGTACGTCGTATTTAAAAGGAAGACTCTCCCAAAAGAGAAGTTCCCTCAGGGAATCGTCGTACGTGCGCAAGAGAAGGGCTGGATGTCCGAGGAACTGGTCGTTGACTGGATTAAGACCGTCTGGGCAAACAGACCTGGAGGGCTGTTACAACGGAAAGCCCTCCTTGTTTTGGACAGCTTTAGGGGCCACTTGACCGACCGCGTCAAGAACCGAGTTGCCGCAACTCGTACGGACTTGGCCGTCATTCCCGGTGGCCTGACGAGTGTGCTGCAGCCGCTCGACGTATGCGTCAACAGACCATTCAAAGTGGAATTTCGCCGATGTTACTCTGAATGGATGGCTGGAGGCGTCCACGAGAAGACCCCTACAGGACGGCTGAAGCGGGCGTCGCTCCAACAGGTGTGTGAATGGATTTTGAATGCGTGGCGTGCCATGTCAGTAGAAGTAGTTGCTAAAAGCTTCAAGGTAACGGGAATTTCGAACTCCATGAACGGCACCGAAGATGACCGTCTCTGGGAAGACGCGGACGCCGAGGCGAGCTCCTCCGAGAACGAGGACAGCGAAATGGAATCCGAATAAAAACATTTCTGGCATGTCATTTGTGACTCTTGCACTCTGCTACTGTTGCATAAACAGTACAGACCTTTGGCCTGTACTGCCTGTACTAAATCGGCCTGATTCGTGTAAGGGCCGCACCTAGCAAAATTTTCGAAAAAAAAGTGCGGCCCTTACACGAGTATATACGGTACATTTCTGGCTTGCATTTTGAATCTGAGTACCTAATCACTTGCTACAACTCATCGTAGTCAGGAACATCAAAATTCCATGTGGAAGGTGGACACCTAAACTCGGTGCTGTTCTTCGAGTTTTCCCAAATATTACTGCACTCTTAGCAACTTGGTTCCCTGCATTACAAGACCGAACAAAGTTCCAAACCTGGAATGTCAAGCTTATCCAGAAAGTTTTTTTTTTTTTCAAAATTTCTCTTCATGCTGCGCTGTAACCTTCAAAAGCGAAGTCAGCCAGAGGGTAGCACAATGAAACGGAGTGGCTGATTACTTCGAGAAGCGTATGATGGGGGGCTAGTTGGCTGATTACTTGCCTGCTTTTTAAAATATCGAGCCCTGCTGCTTGTGGGCTGATGTCAAAAGCTAACGTACTGGCTCTGGGTGCATCGTCACGCCTTAAACAAATTACCAAGGGAATGCCTTGCGAATTCGAGTTCAATAAGACTTCGCTCAGCAGCGTCGGCATCCTGGAGGAAGGCCGGTCATATGAGAGCTGTGAGAGCTGTGAGCGGTCATATGAGAACCATTTGAAAGCTGTGTTCTCATTTTCCTAGTGTCGTTCTTCGCTTTTTCTCGAAAAAGCTATGGCCCTAATAACCATTTTTATTAGCTTTTAGTAGATGAGCGTAATTTTTGGGGATGGCTCGTAAGTATCGTAGATTCTTTTTTTTTTCTTCTACCGTGCTCGCCGATTTTTTTCTTGTGCTCTTGCATGGTGGGCATAAGTCGTCTCAGGGCAGCTCGAAAGTGCTCCTCCACAAGTCTTGGATCTTCAGGGCTGATGTTGCGGTCAAAATGGAAAAAAATAAGCTGCTACGACAGCTCATGCATATCTTTAGGTGATCAACATAACTTAGAAAAGCTGATACCATCCGCAAGCTCATGATTTTCAGCTGGCTTTCCAAACCATGTTCGCTGTATGCGCACGTGAGGACAAGCTTCCCTCTAGAACTGAGGACAAAGGTGAAGTTTTTTGTTACGACCACTGTCTTGTCGATTTCGACAATACCTTTGTTTTGAACCACGTTGGAAAAAAGAAAACTTCTTCCTAGATAAGCTCGACATTCCAGGATTGGAACTTTCTTCGGTCTTGGAATACAGGCAACCAAGTTTCTACCTCTGGACATAACTCTGGATCGGAGGGGACGCCAGTAGCTTTATCAACATCGCTGCCCTCTATGTTAACGTCGGACACATAGCGACCACTTGCCGACACGCGGCCCTTGAATTTCGCGGTTTCTATAAGTTTTGGGGGTTCTCTTTTCCACCTTGTGTGCAGGAATATTTGGGGTAATTCGAGGAACAGCATTCAGCTTAAGTGTCCACCTACCACATGGAATTTTGACCTTTCCGCCTACGATGTGCTCGCAGCAAGAGATTAGGTCCTTAAATTTGAAATGTAGGTTTCGACTGTGAGCTGAAAAGCTTCTCGTGGAGTAGCAACTGTTGAGGCGTTGAGAACTGCTGGGTCATTTGGGGGTTTGAAGAAGTGCCGCCGGTCGCAAGTATTTTTTCCTCAAAGGCATAGCCACTACAACAATCCGGCGCACTGCAGGTCGCCACGTTTACTACCTTAAACTGCTAATTCACACAAGTATGCTCCATCGTCGTGTCACATGTGAAATATAATTTGCGAAAGAGCTTTTCCAAGTAAAAGTTATTATACATACTGACTGTATGTCATCTACTGCACTGCATTCCATTTTTTTTTCTTAAATTATTCTTCCGTCACATTGGAAGGCCTTCTTAACTCCTCGGATAATTTTAGCAACAATCCAAGGAGTTTGTGTATGAAAGTCATCTTCACATAAAAATTGTCCCATTTATGTCAGTTGTGCCAGCTATGAGGTGCGCAAGCTCATCGATATAAAGCGTACAACGGGACAGGCCCAGTGTGCCACCCGCTAGCTACGCCACTGATCGCAGGCAAAGAAGTGATCATACATTTCTTAGGTACAGGCGCGGCCCTTATTTATCACTAAGTAGTATTCATTCGGCCCTTATCTAGCCGCTTTAGCTAAAATCCACGTATTTGGAAACAAATTTCTCGCTATTTCGCATGCAGAGGTAGCAGACTACATTTCTTCGCTAATCCCAAAGTGACAGCGGCGCTGCCGCTGCGCGGCATATGGGAAGGGGCCGCTCTTTGCTGCTCCTTGTCGCTGCGACCCCGCGCGCTTTCCAAACGGACAGTATCTAAAAACTTTGAGAGCCGCTTCCAGCTGAGACTTCTCCAGCTGTGTCTCGGCCCCTCAGGAACACTCGCCACAAGCCGCTAGTGCAGCAGTCTGCTGGCACACCGAGGAGCCAAGAACGGGACCTCGGCGCTGGTTCACGCGTTATTGGAACCCCAGTCGCCCACACTCGAGCACTTGAACTAGACGAAGTGCTGTTTGAGACGTCTGCCCACTTTCGTTTCACTCGTTCTCCTATACTCTTGAGGCTTTTTTTTCTTTGCGTTCTATGTTCTTTCATTGCGACAATCATCATCACTATCTTTGGTTGTGGTGACACATCGTTTAACACAAGCTGCCTCCTTGTGATGTTACGGCCACGTGCCTCAATCCACATCATCACAAGGTTTTATTTTTAATATCCCTGGCCAAAAAGAGATAAAACAGCGAGACACACTGATGCTATGAAAATGATAGAGCAAAGTGACATGGTTGTCATTAAACAGCATTTCTTTTACTCATCTTTGTCTACAAAAGGGCGAGTGTCATCAGCTATGCCTCCAGAAGGCTGGGCATCGGCGTGTCAAGTGGGACCACCCCGCGTCAGCTTGCCTCGGAGTCCCGCATGGCCCGAATCGGCTGCTGTACCAAGGTCAGTGAGGGCACCGACCTCAACCCTGTTTTTTAGTCATATTTGTGGACAGGACTAGTCAGTTAGTGAATTGACATTATGGTCTGGTTTGACACTATTGTCTTCGGAAGTCTGTAGCATTTCTTTCTCAAAGGAAGATCAATTAATTATTTCAAAGTCTAAAAGTGTGTTTCGAAACTTTTAAACATCATATTTTACCAGGCTTGTAAGAATATTTTAATGCTTCAAATATTCGAACAAATAGTGCAGTATTCAAATGCACTTTGAACCGAATTTTAATTATTGAAAATTTTCTATTATATAAAACAAACAAATGCATATTAGTCTGCAAGTAACGCCCTATAAAGGTGTTCTCAATGCAAAAGAGGGATTTTAAGCCTTGAAAGAACTTATCTAGGTGTATATAAGTTAGCATGTAACCTCCCCGGCAAAATGGTTTCACTGTAGTGAAGTGCTTCTAAGCCGTGAAAACACGTACTCGGGGGAAATTTACACTGCCGCGAAGCCTCACTTAAGGTTAAATAAAAATATTAACCTCACGTCGATCCCTATTTTGAAGTTTAAAAGCTTGTTATAGTGACTTATATGCTCTAAGCATAGCAAATTTTAAAATGTAACATATTTTACAGGCTATCACTTGCAGTCTATCGAAAGTCAGATCGTGCTACTATTCAAGGTTTCCCCTTCCTTTGATGCAAAAAAAAAAAACAAACTTGTATTTGTACAGGACTTGTCTCAATTTTAAAATTATACTGTGCAGGTTAGTTACGTCATGACAAGTATGCCCTTTTTTATAATGTGTGCTATATATACTATCCAAATTCAATTCGAAATTATTCAACCAAAATCATTATTCACTTCTAATTCACTTCGAACCTATAATTCACTATTCACACAAGCCTATATTTCACTGCTTGTAGCTCGCAACCTGCTACAATTCAAATGCTGCTCCTTTTCTCATTCAATTCAAAATCATGCCATCTGGCCATGTGCAAGCTTACAAAGCAGTACAATAAAATCCAAACAACATCTAAATTTGTCCTCTAAATATGTGTGATGTAGCATGCAAGATATTTCAAAAGGGCCGGGTTATTAACAATTGTTGAGGGTCTGGACGTCGTAGCCTCCTTCTTAAACTAAAAGTGTAGCGCGAAAAGACTGCACACAGGAGATAAGTAGGCAGGATGGGCATCTACTTCTTGCGCTTTACTTTTAGTTGAAGACACTTTGCGAACTCGTCCAGCAACGCGTTTTATCGAGATATCCTTCTTCATTTTGAGATGTTGCATCAACTGTTGAAGCAGAACTTTTTGAAAAGGTGATGAAACACGAAAGTTTTATAGACTTGGGTATTCAAATGACGCCATCAATATGATGTGCTTATCTGAAATTGGGTTATGGTGAGGCAATGGGGATCCTTGTCAAGATTTTTAATTTAGTTGTTTAGTTAATAATGAAGAGCATTGTTAATTGCTGATTTGAGAAGAAGAAGCGTGTTGAGGTTAGGATAACGCAATACTGTGTACGGTTTTATCGACACAGTTATGTGCGTTTGTTTGCAGCTTGATTCCGCAGACCCTGGAGCAGCTGCTTGAACGTCAGTGGGACCAGGGCTCTGGCTTTCTCATGAGGCAGGCCCAGCACTTTGACAGTGAGTGAAGCTCATATGCTGTGCACGGTTTGTTTCTTCTTACTTTCAGGATTATTAATTTCAGATCTTTTCGGATTATTTCGTGGTCTCTAGGGACTCCGTGAAATCACACATTGACTGTATTGCAACAGTGACATTTCGCTCAGTTTAACTTCGCTCGGATTGCATCGTACGCGGGGCCCACAGCGATGTCTCTTTCAGTAGGAAAACCGAAAGTTTTGTTTTTGAAAGTCCAAAAATACCATTTGGCACAGGTTTGGCGCAGACAATCCAAATTTTGAGGAAATGTAGCTGCATGTGGCAGCCAGGGCACTTTAGCGCAGTTTGGCGCAATCAGCGCAGTAGTAGCATCACTATTGCATGTGAGAGCGTTACTTCTTGCCGAGTTATGTCTCAAAGTTAAGTGTGGTGGTGCATGTGATATTGTAGAATCGCCAGTTCTTTTTATTGTGATCGTTAAAGTGTTGGCAAGTTGTTCCTCTGCAGCTTTCTGTGTTGGCTACACAATCTGTTGCCGTGCTTCTGGTGAACTTTGTTCTAGTAAGTAAAGCTGAGCTAGTACCTGTACGATTTCATCGCAGAATAGCAGCAGTATCGTAGGTTTAGCCTGTGTCTATGTCTTTTTTGCACTGATCTACTATCATGAAACATTGTTTCACTGCAATGGCTCGCTTCTCATGTCTCGCTGCATTGCAATTTCGTATGTAATGGCTCAATACTTACCGCAAATAAGCAGTGTGGTAAATGTTGCTTGGACACTTGTCATTGTGGAAGGAACCTCACAGGCTGTTTGTGTATTGGTTATAAGCTGTGTTCACATGTTGCAGTTGCATCATTGCTGTCATGTCTGCATCAACTGCGCTCGGAGAACATGGAGTTGGAGTCTCGAATCAGTGGCCTGCAAGCACGCCGGGACCAACTGCTGGCTGTCAGCGCACGACTGATGGGCCCTCTTCGAGAAGCGCCCATGTCCAACTCTTCCATGCCTCTCGCGTCCCATGCTTCTGCTGCAGAAGCCAATGCGGCAGGCAGCCATGAGCATCGGCACGAGGGCAAACTTGCCCACATCTTCTGCGGTGCGTGCCATTTTTCGCTTGATTTCGTGTTCCTTGTTTTTAACAGGTGTCTCATTATAGGTGCACCATGTTGTTGTTTTTTTCGGGCGCACTACCACTTAAAGCATGAACTCGTTATGAGGAGTCCGCTTAAGAGAAGGAAAAAGTAGTTCGAATGATAATCTTGGTGTAACCGCTCAGTGTTCTCTGAACTGATGTCGAAGTGCTACAGTTACTAGTGAACAGGACCCAGAGTTCAGGGGGGTTCTCAGTGCTGCGCCAGCACGCTAAGAAATGTCTCTGCATCGACGGGCTTACATATAGCCCAGTAAAGACGTAGGAAAGCACACAGTGGGAAGAAAGCAGCAAAACAATTTACTGCAGCCCGGTGCTCTCATTTCTGAATTTTGCACATCTGCAGTGGAGCTAAGGCTGCATAACCTCCAGTCTGGTTGCAGCAATGCATGATTAAAACGAAAGCAGCACTACCCCCTTGCATTCATTTGTGACCCCCCCTCATTCATAATCTGTTGCTAACTTTGAAGGTCTTTGGGATGAACTCGCAATAATACATACACTAGCATTTTTTTTAAGCACTAGGGCTCCAGCTTGTCGTCACACTCGAAATCAAATGGTCAATACAAGCCTATAACAAGGCTGTCGGTACTCAAAACCGGGTTAAAATAGATGAACATGGTCTAAAGTAATATAGATTACCATTTTCACTTTATTCTGCCGTGCCTTTGATTGTAATGTGCACCCGTTTCTCGCGACCAAAAAAAAAATTATAGCACCAAGTTTTAATGCACAACCACTTTTCGTGACGGAAAAGAAAAAGTCATTAGGAAGCAACCTTCCCATGTTAAGAAGAACAAGTATTTGCTTTCAATGCATTATAGTTACAAAAAGTGAACAAACAACACAGCGTATCTTGCCGCTAAGACCGCAGTCACTACGCCGATACAAGTTGCATGATGATTTCGCCGCCCGCTGCGAATACACGTATGGTGAGCAGCTCTTTGATTTCAAGGAACTGGCACTTTTTTGGTTCACTGAAACCTTTTTGCGGTGCTCCGCGGTCAAAATTTTTTTGCTTCTGTTTCCGCCAGTGCCGCATGTACGTTTCGAGAACTCCAGACGACCACGATGCAGCCAGATTTCCATCCGTCTCTGGGCACGTAGTAGTAACTCTCCTTTTGAATGCAGCATCAAGGTGCGCTCCTTTGAGTCTTTGGAGTCTGCACTGTTATGCCGTTGACTTAAATGCAAAATGGCACACGTACGAACTGCAGAAAATAGAAGAAACAATGGCAGAGATGGCACCCACATAGCCAGGCCTGATGCGCGTTCGAGGCGGCCAGTGTTGAAATGCCGATGGCAATGCGATAACCAATGGGTTTTTTTTTTTTTTTTTTTAGTCTTACACGATTTTAGCCCGCATGCGATTTTCGGACTCGTTTTAAAGGAAGAAACTGTGCACGTCAGATTCGAGTACATACGGTAAGAAAAAATAACCTAAAAGTAATCATACGTATTGGTAGCAGTTGGGTGCTATCAAAGTTACAGAATCAACGGAACTCCTTGCGGTGGCTCCACTTAAGGCAAGGGATGCATATTGTTAATGAAAATGAGGTTGGCACGTGTAGCACTTGAATGGTGGTTCGCGATTTGATTGCGACATCTTGAAATTGGGTGTGCTCCCTTGAAATCGAAGGATCGGCATCTTTCATCCAGTGAAATTGCAGACGTGATTCGACATAGTCTGTGCTATGTGCATAATCAAGGCAGTCTCGGAAGTAGTTGGCGAATTCATGCAATGGTGCTTTCTTTTGTTAGACCCATCCTCCCTTTTCCTCGCATTCATTTTATTACCAACGGATCTTTCGATGTCAATTTTTTTACACTATGAAACTTAAATGATGGTATGCACCACGCGTCGCAGGTTTTGATTTTAAAACGCACCGAGGCTGCGTGCTCAATATTTTGCCGCAAGTGTGGCCCTGGAAAAAGCTGTTTTAGTTGGAATGCGGTACCGATTAGAGTGCGTATATTCGCGACTCCTGCACGTACGTTATAAGCGGTCTATACTGTATTCGGAAGTCTACTCTACGAATTGGAGAGGGGGGTGTAAAAAACAGGGTGGAGCCTGTACACTGGCCTTTCAAGGTATTACTTGAGATGAGTGCTCACAGTGACACGTGGTTGACCTGTTGCTTGGAGAGTATATTGAAACAATAATGCTGAGGCATAGTCCTCACAGGGTGATGCCATCCGTTTTTATCACTGGTACAATACAGGGTAGCAGAGGTTCAATTTTTATCATTTTTTGTCGTAATTTAATAAACATTCTTGGGTTTTGCTCTTCGTATCCACACTATATTTCACATTTAGCATTACCTTGTTTTCATGGTTTACGTAGTGTTTGTAAAACATGGCAGATATTTCGAACACCCGCTTCGAACTGGAATTGGTGTTGCTGTTGAAGGATTCGATTCGTACTCTAAAAATAACCATGTTAATGGCTTCGCTTGCCTTCGGGCAGCTGCAATGGCTGAGTATTACAGATAACTTTGCGAAGTTTTTTAGATCACTTCCCATTTCGGACATTCCTAGGCCTAAGAATATCTGTGTAAACACATCTGCAACATATAATTTTTTGCTTTTAGTGCATGGTTAACTTCTATTTACTTATATTATTACTAAAAAAAGTTGTGATATTGTCATATGCAGAGATTGAGGCAAGCATTTTCTAGTCTTTTTTTTTTTTTGCTTTTTTAGTGCTCTTATTCTCGGCTAGATGGCGCCATGGTCACAGCTTCGGCACGCAAACACCATCTCGTTTAACTAAAACGTGCTGTCCGTGGCGAACGTCTGCTTCACGGTAACGCTACTCCCTTTGACACTGCTGTCACGGTAATGCTAGACTATAACTGTCTATTGACAACCAACGGGCAATCAAGTGAAGGAAAGTAACTGGGATGTTATTCGTGGTAATTTTTACATAAATGTCAAGAAAGCGAAGTCAATAAAAAGGCAACTTGACGCCGGCTGGCAGCAGTCGTCTTTCTGTACACTTTACGGGGTATAGTATCTGTGTATTTAGACTTGGAAATGTTAGTCAGCGCTGCTCCTAGGCATGACATTGAATGTGGAAAACTCTTAATAGTTTTTTGTTGGTGTTGCATAGCCCATGTCACAAGGAACATGAAAATTGTGTCATTGTCTTAATGCAGTGGCAACCAAAATCCACCTTTGCTAGTCTGAATGTGCCCGATTCTAAGCGTACTAGGGTAATGTTGACTGTCAAAGTCCATTTTGCAGTATTTCTTCTCAATGCCGTCTCATTTCACGGCAGCCAAGGTCTTGCTAAAGCCAATTGCTTTCACTTCGTCTATTAGTACCATTGTTGCGGAGCTCAGTAGTATGTATGTGCTAGCAACATGTGTAGGTGCTGATACTGCCTTTGCATGAAATATGTGCAGGGCTCTTCTATGGACAAGCACCCTGGTGTGCCACTTGGCTTCCCTCTTGGCTTTCCCTCCTCGGCCCAGCCAGCCACCGACCACCAACCACACCAGGCAAGCGCATTAGAAGCCGAGCAAGCTGTGTCCAATGAGAACATGAAGCAGAGCACTAAAGGAAACCATGATTCCAAGCTATTCCTCTAGATTATCAATTTGACAGCGACGAACAAGTAGCAGAGCACCAGCATACCATATTGTGGCATTCACACGGGCAACTGATAGAGGTTGCTGGAAATAGTATGTTGTAGGATTATTGTCGCCAATGGTCGCTTAGTCGTAACACACCGTTTTAGTGATTTGCGAACCGACCGACTAAGTAGCCAGAGTGTCGAAATTGCAGAATCAAATAGCAGGGCGGGAGATCGGCATACAATGCTGGTTATTTCACAAGAAATAGACAAGCCTGTCAGAAAAACTTGTGAATAGTAACAGTTGCTGTGTGGCGATGAGCAAACTGCATTCTCTGGTGTGAACATTAGTCGTAGTGAGTAGCTGCTTCACAGTCACTGGTTGCAGACTTGTGTTAGTTGCCAGTGTGAATGCCACCTAAGACAATGTAATAAAGTTTGTGATTTTAGTGTTGTATGCAGGTTATGGACCATATGTATCATAAGCCTGTTGATGTGAGCAAAAGGGGGGAAAGAAGTTACTTGTCAGATTCTATGTGAAAGAAAATCGAGCTTTGTGCCTCTGTGTTTATCGTGAGGACATAGGAAAACGTCCATGCAACACTTAGGTTTAGATTTGCATTAGGAAACCCCTGGGTGTCAAAATTAATCTGGAGTCTCGCACAACAATATGCCTCAGTCACAATTTGTTTTTGCAGTGTAAAAATCTCGGAATAGCTGCGTTACAAAACTTCTAATGAAAGCTGCAGTGCCTCGCACTTACACCATAAACATGTTCTCATTGTTTTTTAATATGTACATAAAACAAGCCTTGCATGTGAGAAAATGTGCTAACAGACGTGTTAACTTTGGCAGCATTTGCTGTCGCTGAATCTGTAACATTCACTTCAGTGGAAGCATTTTGTTCTGTATTTGCAGAATATACACAGTACATTCCATTTTTACAGGGTATACTATATGTACTCGAATCTAGGCTGACGCCGATTCCAAGCCAACGTCCAAACATCTGAAGCCCCCCCAAAAAAAAAAGAAATCTTACCTCGAATGTAGGTTGAGCGAAGAGAGCACTCACAGAATGGAAACATTAATTGAACGTGAAGATGAAACAAAGTGGTTGGTTTATGATGCAAATAACTTGAGAAACATATAGCCGCTAGTCCTGTTGTGTGCGTTTCTTGTCGTTTTTTTTTTCGCGCCGCTTGTAGTTATTTGCATTATAAATATGCCGCTTAAGCTTAAATATGCCGCTTAAGCACGTCGCATAAGTAACCTCTTGCGACAGCACCTGAAGTAAGCGCGGCAGCACCTTTCGACAAGCTTGGTATATATATATATAAAGGTCGCTTAGACAGAAGTTCGGTTCTTGCCGACGGGCACATCGGCTTTCCTCTCATATCTTGGCGCCGAGTCCAGAAGAGGCCGCGACATCCCAGCATGTCACTTCTCCTTTGTGAAAGCAGCAGCCACCCCGATGCGTCCGCTCCAGGCCAGTATACGCCTCTCGAAAGTCCTCCGCTGTAAAGAGCCTTCCCTCCTATTTCATTTCGCCAAGCGCATTCACCGGGGCTGCTTCGTTTTGTCTTATCGGATGCTGCCGTCGCCCACGGTGCCCGCTGGACGGCTGCACAATAAATGGAACTCGGGCGAAAAGCAGCTCGGGCGAAAAGTGCTTGCCGATGCTGTGCTCATTCTAAGTCGTCGTCGTCGCTGACTTCTTTTGTCGCTGTCTTCAAACAGTGCGCAATCCTCGGTGCCACCAAGTACATTGGATATGCCGCACTTCTTAAAAGAGTGCACAATCAAAGTTTTTGGGATGTCGTCTCACACTGCAGCCCCTCATGAGATGCGCATTCTTTTTGTTCAAAGTTCTGCCTGGCTTGAACGTTGGACATTGACATCGCGGCTAGGACTATTTTCTTTTTATAAGTGGCACTATAATGACACCGCCTGTTTGGCACCATTGAGCTATGCTGCATACAGACCCCTCAAAGCGCGACTCAAAATGACAAACGGCTCGCCCATGACAAACGAGCGAGCCTCAACACTCCCCACGAAGATCAAAATGGCGGCCTCACGTGTGTACTCATTGGGTTTTCTGCATTTACATTAGAGAGAACTCTAGCGCTAGTGTCTACAGGAACTGCAACGTACCGTATTTACTCGCGTAATCCTCGCACTCGCATAATTCTCGCACCCCCCACATCGCCCAAGAAAAACACAATTTTATTTTTTCTCGAGTAATTATTGCACCCCCGAAAACTGCCGCAATAATGTCGTCTGCTCGTTCCAGCAACTGGTGATGATAGCGCTCACCATCTGGCGCCATCTCTTAAGCATCAAGCGTACTTTTGCTCGGAGATTCAATCCAATCCAAGCCAAGCCGAAGTGGCCAGTGCGCGTTGCGTGTTTTGTATGTTGTGTTGGTAATCTTGGCACGTTATGGGGTAACACTGAAGCTACACGGCTGCTTCAAGTTCCAAGTGATAGATCATGCACTAAACAACAGCGGCAGGGCCGCCGGTAGGCCCTTCGGAGCCTACGGGTTTTGTGTTCGCTACTGGTGACGGCAGCTGAAAGCCACCAAGGCACGTTGGGCCTGCCGTGTGCCTAAAACTGGGATTGATGGTAAACTTTATTTCTTCAGAAGGAAACTGCGGACGATTCTGTTAAATAGCCATCGGTAAACTTTATTTCTTCAGAAGGAAACTGCGGACGATTCTGTTAAATAGCCATCAGCGCAATACTGACGTCCTACGCTTACCTTTTGAGGGCTCCTGTTGAGTGACGAACGCAACCGCTACGCCCACAAGCTATGCGTATGGTATTCTGATTCTCGGCTATTTGCTTCCACTTTTTGTGTCTCAAATAAATATTGCCTTGTGTTGAACCTCTGCTTTTATTGTTGAGGTAAGTTCTAATTAGTACTTCTTAAAGCTTTATGTAAGTTGCTAGTGTGAGAATCCCGATTTGCGGCCACTTCGTTTTATTTTTCGCTCTCTGCGTTTTCGTGGAAAGCTTTCCCCGTGTAATTCTCGCACCCCGAACTTTGCATCAGTTTTCCGGCAAAAAAAGTGTGAGGATTATGCGAGTAAATACGGTATCCCGCTTCAGCAAGTATGGGAATTCGTAGTAGTACATAGATTTGCCTAGTCTTCGTACTTTACTTTTCTTTTGGCTTCGCATGGCTTGGAGCTGCTTTGTTACGAAACAAAAATCTGCAAATGTTCAGCAGTTGCGCTTCACCACCTTAATCATTTAGGCTCACTGTTTCAAGTGAAGTTACGAAGTTCAAAAGGTTTTGTTCTTTCTTTCAAAACAAAACCGAAACACAGTAATAAACAAAGCCACAAGAGCGATTCACCTAGGCAAATCCGTCTGCTACCCATCATTCCTATGATCTCTGAACAATCGCAGCACCAGAGTCTCTTCTAGTTAATTTTGTGAAACTCCATGTGTGAAGCCAGATGTTGGCTAGGCTACTAACAGCTACAACACCGTCTAAGTGACGCCAGTTGTGCACTTTTGTCGAAAAATGACGTGTTTTTCAAAATTCTCGTATCTAAGCTGACCCTGGAGTTTTATACAAAAAAATTTGAAAAGTCTGTCGGCCTAGACTTGAATAAATACGGTATTTAGGAAGTTAGTACAGTCAAACCTTGATATAACGAACTAAGTGGGACCGCCGCAACTCGTACGTTATTTTGAAATATCGTTGTAATGAAAAACTTCGATTGTAAGCAAGAGGTCAAACCTAGGAGCGAACATGACGTACCGTATTTACATGATTGTAAGACGACCCCCCAAAATCGCATCTCAAAAAAAAAATAAAAAATAAAAAAAAACCACCTCACGTAGGTCGCAAGCTTCGCCTCTAGTTCCGGAAAGCGGCCAGACTTCGGCCCGCGAAAGCCACGGCGCTTGGAGTCGCACGAAAAAATTTCCTCGCGCTGAAGCCGCCACTTCCACACCACACATTCACAGATTCCGAACTTTCGTCCTCATGTCACGGCACTCATGTCAGACAGAAGTGACTCGAGAGAGCCGGTCGTGGACACAAGCGACAGGAGCACGCGGCGACGCGCCCGCTTAGAAAATTGTATCGCAAAGAGGAGCTCTTCCGTCAACTACCAATACCCCCCTACGGCGGCTCTTCCATCGATTAGCGGTACTCCCTCAAGAGTCGTGCGCTCGTCATAAAGGCACTCGTAATGCGCGCAGTAGATGCTAAAAAAAGAAAAGCTTTTGTATAAGCACGCGGAAAACTATGCGCTTTGGGTTGAGCGGGAAACTATTCGAGATGACAATACATGGGTTTCGATTCTAAGACGACCCCCCAACATTGGATTGTCAAATTTGAAAAAAAGGGTCGGCTTACAATCGTGTAAATACGGTACCTTGGCAGTTGCCGTGTGCGCCGACAAGCAAACACACACAAAAAAAAAATTACACACACTTCAAACGTTCTTTATTTGAAGAAATCTGTGATTTTCTTCTGACGCGTGGAGCACAAACGGCTGATTAAGTACGCCTCAACACCTTCCACCTTACGTAGCACCTCATCGGGCACATCACTGCACCGACCAATGTAGGTGCGGACTTTGTTCATGTGCACTAAAACATCCGAGTGCGATATGGTCTCATCCTCTTCAGTGTTCGGTGATACAGAGTCCTCTTCCTTCGGGTCGTCGTCGTAGCTGGAGACGTCGCGAACGCTGTTGACAATCTCCTCGGTTGTCATGTCCGCCGACGTTAGTGCTGCGCTGTCGCTCTCCACGTAGTCGTCGAAGGAAGAGACGTCGGGCAACAGTTCCTCAACCTCAGTCCACAGGTCTCCTGGGTAGCTGTGGTCCTCTTCCAGGTTGTCTTCAACTTGGGCAGGCGCCTTGACTAGGCCTGCTTTTCGCCAACAGTTACGGATTGTTGACG